ACACACACACACACACACACACACACACACACACACACACACACACACACACACACACACACAAACATTAATTACCAAAACACTAAAATAACCACACATCTGACATCCAGCACACACACTCACCTCACAGTGCTCTCTGTAGATCAGCTGATATGTGTGTACGTGTTGACGATGGAGTCCATCTGGCAGAGGTTTACCCTCATCTTTGAGCTCAGGGAACTCTGGCAGACTGCGAGACGCATCTAAAACACACACATTCAAAAAGTTGATGTAGAGTAATATTATATGTCTAAAAGAGAGAGCTGCTCCTACATTTTGTGTTTGTCTTACCTAAAAACTGCTGATACTGGTGAACCTGGGCGCTGATGTCGGATAGCCCCGCCCCTTGTAGATGCCCCACCCCCAGGCCCATTCCATTGGTCAGTCCCTCCAGCTTATGCACAGGCTTTATCCTATATCAAGAGATGAGGGCTATGAGTCAAACTAACAACAGCAAGTGATCAACAATACACAAACTATAAATACACACACACACACACCTCTGTTTCTGTGAGTACGGCTGTTGTCTACATCCACGCACACACACACACACACACACACACACACACACACACACACACAGGTATTTTAATATTAGCCTGTTCTGTTATTTTAGTATCATTCATATACTATTATAGTTTTTGTTAATATTGTTGTTTTTTATTTTATATTTATATCTCAAATTAGCATGTATACAATTTATATACAACATGATCATTCACAGCTAATCAGAACACATTTCATGTTTAATGCTCAGTTATGTGGAGCAAATTCTTGACCAGAGATTTTACTGTGGGTGGAGCTACCCAGTACAATGAATATGTAAATAAAGAAAAATGGTTCATATTGCTTGTTGAAGCTTTATTGCATCACACCTGGTCCGGACAGTGTGACTGTACCTGGTGCCGAGACGTCTGGTCCTGAGGCCCATGAACACGGAGCGGATGAGTTTGCCAAAGGAGGCGGCGTTCACGGGTTCCAGCTTGGTCTGCTGGCAGTGCAGGAGATAATGACAGTAGAGGGTACAGCGAGGAAGACTCACACCTTCAGCTGTCTCGTAGTTATCCATCAGCCACTGCACCTGAACACAGACAGGAGACAGACGGCAGGTGTTAATTGACTTACTATCACACAATCAAAAACTCTTTTACCTGTTTTATGGGTGAATCCAGTGTTTTTTTTCTGTGTATTTTAGCATTGTCTATATACTATTATAGTATTTATTCATATTTTTTATTAGCTTTATTTTTATATTTTCAGTTTAAATTTTTATTTTAGTTTAAGTTTTAGTCATTTTGTTATGTGCTATTATTATTATTCTATTATTTTTATATTTAGCTATTCTATTATTTTTTTATATTATATTTATATTTTATTATTCTATTATTTTTTATATTATTTTGTTATGTGCTAAATTATTATTATTCATTATTATTAGTAATTTTAGTACTTAAACTTAATTTATTTCAGTTTTTCTATAAGTTTTTCTTCTAGTATTTCATTTCATTTTATTTCACTTTATTTTATTTCAATTACTAAAACTAATTTTAGTCAACAAAATAACAACACTGGGTGAATCTCTTTGGGTGAAACTCTGAATCATCATTCAAGAAAACAAATACACTCACAGTCGCGGGTGATGCGCGTGTGTTGTGTGAGAAATTTTGGTTCCCTCCACCGGCTCCACCAAACATGTACCCGCCCTGAATCATATAACCCCCTGCCCCTCCGCTGGTGACCACGCCCCCTGACCCGCCCACTCCTGACGAGGACCCGCCAGCTACCACGGTGATCCCCGAACTGCCCTCTGAGAACATGGAGACCACCCCTGTGCCCATCCCGGACGTCACAGACACAGGCTGAGTGCTGGCGGGGGACGTGACCTGTGAGCCGGTGGTGGGCGAGGTCTCATAGTAAGTGACAGAGGGCGTGGCCTGGGAGTAGAGGGAGGGGTCTGTGAACTGGTAACTCCTGGAACGACTAAAAAAGGGAAAGAAGGGTCTGTGAACTGGTAACTACTGGAACGACTGAAAAAGGAAGAGAGAAGGACAAATACAGAGAAAGGTAAATGTTTTCAGGAGTAAAGTGAAGCTAAATATACGCCACAAGGACTGTGTTGATGCTCACATTGCAGTATTGTTGTAGTTGGCGTCTCCCTCCACAAACTGGCTCGGGTAAACATGCTGTACAGGAACCTACACACAAACAAACAGCAGTTTCACATCAGACTCTTAAAAGTCAGTTTAATCAGAGTCAGGTATGAGGGGAAACATCACAAAGCATGTCTATATAATGTCAAATCTAAATCTTTACATAAATATATTAAACTAAACTTTACATTTTAGTGCTGATAACAGTTTCACACAATATATAAACACAAACAATATACAGACACAATGTTTAATGTTCATTTGCACCTGTAAAAAACGAAATTTACCAGATTATTTCTCATTAGACATCTGAGACAACAGAATAAAAATATTATAATAATTAGACAATTACAATTAAATGACTATGTAAAATTAACAAATATATATATATATATAGAGAGATAGATAGATAGATAGATAGATATAGTGTTTTTTGTTGCAAATTATTTCTAGTAATCACGTTATAATACAAACACAATAATCTACTCAAAAAGTATTTGACCACTCAAAACACACTTAAAAAAATATACAGTATAAAAGTTATTGCTTGCTACATTGCAAAAACATTGCGAAATATCAAACCAAGTGACATTGCTTGAAAATAAATATAATGCAAGCACACTTTCATCAAACCAAGCTTTTGAGGTTTGAACTTATATATATTACATAACTGAAGAAGAACCCATTACAGTAGATGAGACCTCCCATATATGTGGCAGGCATGTTATAATGTCATTCTGCTTAAAGCAGTTATGAAGTGTGTGTGTGTGTGTTTGTGCCTCAGGTGTGATGTGTAGATTACTGACCCCCAGTTGTCCACTTTGACTCTTGGTTGTGGCCTGAACCACGGACCTCTGCTGGACACAAATCACCACAGTTTTGGAATTAATTTGATCTTTATGGTTTTGATATCCCATATGAACATATGTGTGTGCATTACCTGTGCTGTCTGCACCTGTTGCACTACCTGTGTGGGAACGCCAGTCTGTCCCGCGGGAGGAGAATTCGATTCAGAGTCATTGGAGTGAAGTGAGCCCTCTACACAGAGACAGACAGACCAAAAACAAGGCATATAAAAATCAAACTACTCAGATTCTCAGAAAGAAACTAATTTGCATACAACTGTATAAAAAATATACTGTAACCGTAAGAACTCAATTACATGAGCTACAACAACCTGTTTTAGTTTAGAGCAACATTTTGGGTTAAAAAAAATGATTAAAAACAAGAATGCAGCAGAAGTATAGAATATGGCCACTTCACACTACTGAATCTCACACTGCAGATCTTATGTGTGTGCGTGTGTACAAGAGAGACACACACAATGAGAGGAAAACACACTGAAGAGAAAAATAAAGAGACAGAAAACAGAAATGAGAAGGAAACACGACAAAATCGCTCTCAGAAAAGAGGAAATAATGACTGAAGACTCGTTTTGCTCAGTACAAAACCTACAGGAGGAAATAATACCAAAACAATAACACACAACCATCGAAATCAGTTAACATGCGCTCACACTTACGGTACAGCACATCCAGACTGTACAGACAGCTACTGTAGAACATGATCTGAACACAGACACACATGCAGCCATTTCTCTTTATATCAGGCTCATACGGGCCGGCCTTGAACAATCTCTCAAAATCTCTCGTTCAGGTAAACACAGGTATCAGATTGAGAGAGGAGAAATCAAGCTTTACTTTACCTGTGCTTTTTACTTTGGTTTCCATTCTGTATTTTCCTACATCCTCCAGTTTATCTCTCTACTCAAGTAAATGATTCTGTGATATCACAATCCTTGTGATCAACTTTAAACGAAAGCCTTTCTACAGGTGTTTTGCTGCTGTCTTTTTTCATACAGCAGATTAATGTTCATCATCTGCTATATACTTTTATGAAATGATTGTCTTACATAAAAAGAGTTAATTTTAGTCTAATTTCATATAGAGACTTTTTAATCGCTCAGCATTAATTTCATATTCACATACATGGAATTTATGTTGTTATGTTGAGATTTTAATAATATATATGTAATTTAAATAAATATATTTTTTATTTTGATGTTTATATAGCAAAAAATAAAAATAGAGTTTTACAATAGATTTTTAAAATAAAAATCTAATTTTTATTTTCTATTAGTGTTGATCATGAATTTTAAATATACAAGTAATTTATGCTGACAATTTTTAATGCATATAATATAAATAAATTCACTCAATATACATACCTTTCAAAATTTGGGGTCAGTAAGATTTTTTAATGTTTTTGAAAGAAGTCTCTTTTTTTTTTTGGCTCAAAAATACAGTAAAAACACCAATTACTATATATGTTGAAAACATTATCAATGTTAACTTGGAAACCATTATAATTGAAAGTTCAAAACAAAAGCATTTATTTAAAATGTTGTACAAATATGCTGTCAATTTAGATTATTTTAATGCGTCCTTTCTGAATAAAAGTATTAATTTATTAAAAAAAAATAAACTTTTCAATGCTAGTGTCATTTTTTCTTTTGATATTAATTCTGATATTTTTCTTTTGATATTGACATAAATACACATTTTTTGGTCACTATATTCAGTCTGTCAGGTCTCAGTATTGGCAGTTAATAAAGCTGCTGCGCGCAGTAAGAAGTTCATCCACACACTGCGGACGCTGAGTAGGCAGTGCTGTCATATCGGCTGCCAATTAGAGAGTTACAATGTTCAGTCATCAGAAAAAACGTGTGAGTGTGTTAAACAAAAAGCAGAAGGGAACGTGTGTGTTTGTCGGGCTGCGATACGCACTGCTACTCTTGCGCGTTTATTTCGAGGTCCTTCTATTCAGGGAGAGGCCTAGAAAGTGTCAGGTGTCTGTTAGATCGCATTACACGCACTTTCATACACGCAATGCATATAAACCAGCGGTCTGCTCTGCAGCTTCAGTCCTAACTAGGAGAAAGTTAAGTCCACATGTATCTAGTAAAGTGCGAGTGCTCACCGGTGACGGTCACCACTATGTACTGGGAGGCGGAGCTTTGTATCTCTCCTGCCACATACTGCGCTGCTGTCACGACTCCTTGAGGGGGCGTGGCCAGAACAGCTTTCTTTTGAGTGACAGGGGGCGTGGCCTGCACTCTTATGATAGAGGCCGTCTGCGCAGGAGCGGATCCCAGCGAGCTCTGGATGTCGGAGAGGAACTGGGACGAGGTGGTGGTGGAAGTGGCTGTCTGCTGGGTCGACGAGGCCGTCGTGACGTTGGCCCCTTGTGATTGGGAGGGCGGAAGCTCCTCAGTGGGGTAGCCTGAAGTTGCCATGACGACAACAGCCCAAATCCCCCTGCAAACAGAAATGAAAAGCGCGGATTAAGCCCTGCAGGATGTTGAAAGCAAACAGATTTAGACTTCATTACTTGTTTTAATGATAGATGGTATTGCCCTGGAGATTATTCCTGCACAGTTACACTTTCCATGCACTGGTCGATTTTGAGATTTTGCTTTCATAACATGTCTTTGTTTCAGATTAGAGGAAAGAAAACATTCAAAATGCATATTTAATTGTTTATTTTATTATACTTCGTCTATTTGCGTCTGTAGATTTCCGTTACAATACAAATCTTTAAAGGGGTCATATGATGCTTTTTTAAAGATCATTATTTTTTGATAAAGAATATCTTTTTGGTTTTGAGACTTTAGTCTTTGCAACTTCAGGGGTCTTATCTATGCACAATCAGCTTGTAACACTCCAAAGAGAAAGGAAAACTTGAAATCGCATCATATGACCCCTTTAAAGGCTGTTTTCTCAAAATGACTTTTTTTCTCCACTTTAGTAGCAACTGGGTCTACATAAATCAAACTTTACAGTTTTATTCCTATCTATATTCTGAAGGTGTTTACTGAGGGGTTTGTTCATAAAACACTTTTTTCCCCTTTTAAAAATATATTAATTTCTGGCTGTTGGCAGGGTTTTCTGATTTAATAAGTGATACATACAGTAGGCTCTTTAACACTTATATGTCAACAAAATATTGAAACTGTTTTATCCAATGTTCTAATTTCTGGAAATGTAAGTAAATTATTAGATCATGCATGTGCATATTTGAACATAACATTTCATACAAACTTGTAGCACAAAACAATTGTCTTATTGTGATTGCCGTGATTAGTCAACTGGGGAATTGTACTCTATTCACCTGTAGTGTCTTGCCTTAATATTTTATTGTATAAAAAGCAATAGTGCCTTGTAATAAGGACTTACATTAAAACATTATTTTTACTAAGCAAATTCACTGGCATCTTTCTGCTGCCTTAACTTAACTAAATAATTATTTGAATACAGAATAAGAATATGCATTTAGAATCTTTTATTATTATCATCAATCACAACAAAAACAATTTAGCTGAAAAAATGTCAAGCATTTTGTCTCACTTATGCATAGAGTACATTCCAGTAGTTTACTGTGAGACTGCATGTAAAACTAAACACATTTTCTTTCCCTGTCAGATGCACATAAATCCTTGAGCTGGCTGAACTTGTTTAACAGAACTCTCATTTTCCTTAAATTAGAGGCAACAGGCGGCATTGCGTGCCCTGTCTTGTGATGACAGTATGTGCTCGTTCATATGAAGTTACTGTGAGAGAGAGAAAATTTCACAATGAACCTTCTGATCATCAGAATTAGTGTTAAATGGCTTAAAAAGAAAAGAAAACCAAGAGCACCTGAGGACACAATGCTGAATACTTTAAAATTAAAATTAAATGCAAATTTTCAACAATTTACCATCGTATATTTACAGCTCATTTTCAAATATGCTAATAAATTTACATCCAAAATGCCGCAGAGCGCTTTGCTGAACATTTATTGTCATAAAAAAATCCCGTGTGACTAATCATTATATTGTGTCATTTATTATTGTTTATCTCCATGGTAAATAATATATAGTCAATGTTATGATTTTAATGGCAAAATATTATCCTCATGCATGATTTTGCCTTAATATATCATCTATTTATGTCTATATTAAATATAACATTTCTTATATATGTATGTTTTGTGTTTTAAAATTAATGTTTTGTTTATTGCTGGCAGAGGACAAATTGTATATAGTTACACAACGCTAAATAAAATGCATAACTTACAATTTACCTGAACAAGCATCATATATTCATAGGTTCAAATATGCTGTCAAATTTACAAGCAAAATGTCAGTGTTATAACTTCATAGACTATAAATATAACAAAACATTATGTTGTGTAATGTATTATGTTTCTCTCTCTGGTCCATATGTAGACTATATAATCAATGCTATGATTTTTTTTAATGCCTTTAATATCTTCATGCATGATTTTGCCTCAATAATATACCATCTATATTAAGTTTCTATATAAAGAAACTTATTCTAAATAAATTCTATATAACCTGGCAGAGAATATATATAGTAGAAGAATTAAGTATTATATATTCATAACTTATTTTGAAATATGCTGACACATTTATGTGCAAAATGTCATAAAGCGTCTCGCTGAACATTATTTGAACATAAATCTGACTAAACATTATGTTGTGCGATATATTACTTTTCTCTCTATGGTCCATATAATGATTTTAATGGCAAAATATCATCTTCATGCATGATTTAGCCTCAATAATAATAAAGTATATATTTTAGGTTTACATTAAATATAACATTTCTTACATATGTGTGTTTTATTATGTATGTTTTGTTTATTGCTGGCAGAGAACAAAGTATGCACCTATGTAACTGCATAGACATATGTGACCTGGAGCACAAAACCAGTCATAAGTAGCACGGGTATATTTGTAGCAATAGCCAACAATACATGGTATGGGTCAAAATTATAGATTTTTCTTTTATGCCAAAAACAATTAGGATATTAAGTAAAGATCATGTTCCATGAAGATATGTTGTAAATTTCCTACCGTAAATATATTAAAACTTAATATTTGATTAGTAATATGCATTGCCAAGGACCTCATTTGGACAACTTTAAAGGCGATTTTCTCAATATTTAGATTTTTTTACACCCTCAGATTCCAGATTTTCAAATAGTTGTATCTCGGCCAAATATTGTCCTGTCCTAACAAACCATACATCAATGGAAAGCTTATTTATTCAGCTTTCAGATGATGTATAAATCTCAATTTCAACAAATTGACAGTTATGACTGGTTTTGTGCTCCAGGGTCACATATGTGTGTTTTGTTTATTGCTGGCAGAGAGCAAAGTATGTATATCTACATAACTGGATAGACGTATGTCAATCACGCCCTTTTAACTTCCCACGCCACGCCCCCTCCGCCCCGGAGCTGATCTGGCACGCATATGGCTGCTCGACGACTCCCTCAACAAAGTTTTTAACCCGAGAAAACACAATTCCCGGGGGTCTGATCCACCGAAAGCCTATATTCCATCGTCTTTCGCGTTAAACAAACTCCAGCAAACCGGACTAGCGAAGCAACGACCACAGTCGAGTGCAGTTTGACAGTCGAAAGTCGCTCTTTGACATTTGATCCTAAACTACTCGTCTGTTTCAGTCATCAAGTCGGCTAAACGCGCTTCTGACGTCACGCTCACCATAAACAAACATCAAGTAAAAGTCACACACGCTCACGTTACAACACCCGCCATTTTGTAGCAGATTTGACATCGTCATAACAACCGCCAGCGCGTGAGAGCGGCGCGGGGTCGAGTTCAAGCGCGTTAACTGAGGAAATCGTGTCTAGCACACTTCGGCACTTGTGAGAAAGAACAAGAGGAGGATACGTGAAATAAAGTTGTTGCTTTCACCTTTCGCTTCCCGCCGGATGATCTTAGTTTGGCGCGGAGTTTTATTTTCGTAATGGTTCAAATTGTTGTTGTTGATTCTCGTTGCTGGGTTCTTGTCGCCACGACTACCGTGACTATGGCGCCTCGTCCTCACCGGGGCAACTGTTGCTACCCACCCGTCTAAGCACCGCCCTCTTGCTCAGCGGCGGTTGGCTGCGCGTCGCCAAGGGGAACGGCCTTCTCTCTTTATTATTGGCTAAGGCGAGTGTCTATAACAAACTTACCTTGTCATTCGCTGACAGTCGCTGTTACACTATTACGCAAGAAGATCCCGCCCCCTTTACGCTCATCTATTGGACCGCATTTCTGTCAATCAAATCAAACGTCACGTTCGACTCCTCCGTTAGTCAAAGATCAACGTAAACGTTGAAAACGTACATGTAATTTATATGTATCAAAATAGTGTTTTATTTGTGCACAAATCGTATGTATAATCATTACTCTACAAAACGTCACCATATTAAATATACGTCTTGTACATCAAATGACAATGGTACTGTGACTAAATGTTTTCTCACATTTTTCCATAAAACAGGATAACTACCTTGAATAAAACATTATATAAATTATTCGTGTTTTAAGCATAAAATACTGCAAAAGTAGGCTATCATTTTATTTCTAATTCTAGCGACTCCATTAGCATATTAATCATAATACTATAATCACTGGGGTCAGACAGGCAACCAATTCGCCCATGTGCTGTAATCTGTGTGAATGCCGGTGTGTGAATCATATTGTACAGACTTTCTTATCTCGTGACTGTATGATTATGAAGAAACAGGCTTTTGCCGATACGCTTATAAGCCGGTTTCTGAGGTGCTGGGACTCTTAATAACCACACACACACACACACACACTCTCACACACACACACACACACACACACACACACACACACACATGTTGTGTTTCCATGTTTTATGGGGACATTCCATAGGTGTAATGGTTTTTATACTGTACAAACTGTATGTGCTATTGCCCTACACCAACCCTACCCCTAAACCTACCCCTCACAGGAAACTTTGTCTCACACGCACACACACACACACACACTCACACACACACACACACACACACACACACACACACATACATAACAATCACTCAGTTCTCACATCCATATCCTCTTATCTGTTTTGAAATGTCATCCAGGCACCTCGTGTTACGAGAGGTCAGCTAAACCAGCCTGCACTGTGTACGCTTAATATTCTTGACATCTTTATTGTGTATTGGTGATGTTTTATGGATTACGTGATTACATATTCATAAAGTGCCAGTAAAATATTCATAATTGATTGATTCTCCCTAATTCTTCTTTTTTCCTCCCTTAAAGTTTCCATTCCAAAAATCCTACTTTGCCATACATTTAGCTTTGGCTATAGTCACACTATAGAATGGCCATGTACGTGTAAATTTACATTTAGATATTTAGTCATTTAGCAGATGCTTTTATCCAAAGCGACTTACAAATGAGGACAATAAAAGCAATCGAAACCAACAAAAGAGCAGTGATAAGCAAGTGCTATGACAAGTCTCGGTTAGCCTAACGCAGTACACGTAGCAAGGTGGGTTTTTTTTATAATAATTAAAAAGAAAACAAATAGATCGAATAGAAAAAGAATGGGAAACGCTTGTAAATGTCATGTAAATAATTTTGCAACCCTACATTTGGGGGGAAAAAACAAATGATAGGGAAAAAGTAATATAAAAAGTAGTCAGAATACATTACCTAAAATGAATAACCTAGAGATTACATTGCTGACCACAATTTTTCTCATGTAATCTGTATTTCAGTAACAAACTACAATTTTGTAAGTAATCTATCCAGCACTGCCAGTGAATTACCTCAGATTGGATCTTGGTTTATGTGTTTCACATGACTCCACACAGGATCAGTTATTATATTATTATTATTCCCATGTAACACATTTGCATGAAAGTAAACAAGTCTTGGGTTTCTGTTAATTAGAAAAATGAATCTGTGGTCAAAGTGTACCATATATGTTTCAATAACTTTTAAAACTTGTATTTAATGTGTGAAATATTTGTTCTAGTATTACTAGAATCATAACTTTTATATTAATATTATTATTAATTTTTACATTCTTAAAATGTATTTATTAACAACATCAAAACAATTCACACGGATTAAGCATTGTGGCATTTAGGTAAAATATAATAAACTTGGTTTAGAAAAGCATTTACATTCGGATTAAATAAGATGTGGCACTATAGACTAATAATGTGAGTATTTACATGCATCTGATTAAAAGTGCAGCGTTTGTGTCAGCGTGAGTGTGCAACTTCATAATTCATTCCACATTTTGTGCGATTAGACCGAGTGTATGACAACAAAAAGGTCAGGAGTGATGAGATTAGGTCGCTTCATCCGACATCACCTCCTTAGAGGTGCACAAGGTCTCTGCCCTGCTATCACGGTCCATCTGACTGACGCAGCAGCACAGGCTCCATGAGCCACTATAAAAGACACAGCAGGGCAACAATAGGTTAGACCATCTTTCTGACCAACAAGGAGCAGTGAGAAACATTTCCAGCCCCTCTCGTCTGTGTGGTGGTCATGTGTAAAGCTGCAGTTCTCACACTCGGCCTGCTGGTGGCGCTGCTGGGCGGCGCTCGGGCCACAGACGGACACCCGGTCTACGGAGTGAAGCTGTGCGGCAGAGAGTTCATCCGCGCGGTCATCTTCACCTGCGGAGGCTCGCGATGGAGGAGGTCTCTGGACGTTTCAGGTATGAGACACACATGAAGTAAAAAAACAGGAGTTGTGTTTACTGTATATTCGTTTCTTCCAATACAACACACACACATTTAGAGGAACCCAATTTTCCTTCCACAGCTTTAATACAACATACATTTATATACAAAATGTATTTAATTGTACTTTTGCATATAGCTTTGAGTTATTTTGACACAATAATTACTAAATGACTATTAGGCTACAACAATAAAAACATACATTATTTATTTAATAATAATAATAATAATTATTATTATTGATAATACCCATACATTTAGAGGGCAAATTGAACCACATGCCGTTTAATTTTTTTATTTGTATTATTATTGATAATACACACAGAAGGCAAATTGAACTACATGTAATCCACAAACCCATTTTTAATAAAAAACTGAATAATAACTAAATGATCTATAGAGTACAACAATAAAAACATATATTATTTATTTAATAATAATAAAAATAATTGATATTAAGTAATTAAATTGTTATTCATTACATTGTTAATTTATTGTAATATTGTTGTATACACACATATACATGTATGTGTATATACACTGTTATTACAGTATTATTATTAATAATTAAATTATTAATTATGTTAAAGTGTTTATATATATATATATATATATATAATACAACAATTTTAATATAATTATT